TTTGTCAGAAAATGTATTACCGATTCTGGATTTCGAAGCACAGTAAGACCAAGGAGGTATAAAAATACCTCCTCGGTTAAATTTCAGTAGATTGTGATCGAAATAGAAAACAATGTTAAGTTAAGCAATGAATTAATTACATTAGCTTGTTATGTAAGTTACAAATCATGGTTAAAAGCAGAAGGGAAAATAAAAAAATGTTAATTTAAACAGGATGTTTATTGCTGAGCTAAAATTAAGGTGCAAACTATAGTCTAAATTAAAGAAAATGTAATGATGTGAATTGAAAAAAAAAACAACCTAAAATTGTTAAATGACAGTAAATTATTTGTACAAAATCAAGATGGAAATGAAAAGTGTAGAACTGAGATTAATTTATTATGTAATTGATATTTAGGCAAATGTTTATGATTTATTTTACACACTAAAAAACTAAAAAGCAGAAAAAAATGTTAAATCAAACAGGATGTTCATTGTTGAACTAAAATTAAGGTCTAATCTAAAGAAAATGTAATGATGAGAATTGGGGAAAAAAGAAAAAACTAAAAAGTGTTAACTGAAAATAAATTATTTGTAAAAAATAAGATGAAAATGAAAATATATAGGAAAACACAGATTAATTTATTATGTTCTTATATTGATTTTATGTACATTTTTATGGTGCAATAATGAGAATAAAGGTGGCTTTGCCAGAAAGAGAAAAAAATGTTAAGTTTTAGAATAGATGTTTCAGCTATTGTTTTTGTGTTCATCTGTCAATATAATGTATACTTTAAAAATTCCAGACAGGTCCAACTACACCCGAGTTTAAAAATAGTGAACATTCATTCTGCTGTGTTAATAATCCAAGTCTAATCCTATAAAGAATGCATCACAATTGAAGAGATAAGGAACAGAGTAAGACTAGCGATTGGGCCATACACAGTTCTGCTGACCATGGTAAAGAAAAGAAAATTAAAGTGATACGGACACGTAGGCCTATCAAGATCATCCGGACTTGCCGAAACAATCCTGCAAGGAATGTGCAAGGAGGCATAAGGAGAGGTAGACAGATGGGAAGATAACATCAAAGAATGGACAGGTTTTAAGCTAAGAGAGACACTACGAAAGACAGAGATTCGAGAGGGATGGAAAGAGCTGGTTGCCAGGTCACCTGCGGTTCCCCAACGGTCAATTTGACTATGGGATAAACCATGGAGTAAACAGAGCAAAACACAGATGCTCATGCTTGATCCGTGGACCTTCTGCTTGTGAAGCTGACGTTATAAGCACTAAACCATGAAACACGCGTTAGTGAAGTCCTACAAGGTTATTTGCTGGTACCTGAGTCTCTGAAACCGAAAGGTAGTTTACAATGAAAATACCTAAATTATCATAAGGAGTAGGTTTATGGTTTTTTTCTTTAGATTTCTATTAATAAACATTTTAAATATAATAAGAATATTTTAATTCTTAAGCCGAAACAAGAGCAAAAAAATCCCAAAATGTTTATTGTGCAACTTGTATGTTCGTAAGCCTAATTATATTTCAATATTTAAAAAAAAATAATATAAGTGTATTTAAAAGAACAATATTATAGCTGTTTATTAAAAATGCAATTTAAATGGAGAAGTATAAGTTATTAAAAATTGTGACTTAATTATTATTATTTAGATTTTTCAAAATGCAACTTAATTTTTAAATGAAACTAATAAAAGCTTCTGCGTGTGAAACAGACATGATAACCACTATACCTCGAAGCCTTGTTATATTCGCTTGTTGCAAACAGCCTATTATCAAGATAAAAAAAATCATTGGCAAGTTTATATTATTATTAATGCAACTTAAATATTAGTATGAAAGTAAAAGAAAAATAGAGGTTCCGCCCGGGCTCGAACCAGGGACCTTCTGCGTGTAAAGCAGACGTGATAACCACTACACCACGAAACCTTGCTGAGTTTCACAATTAGTCTGCATCGATATGAAAATAATCATTATCAATATTCATCACTGAAAATGCAAGTTAATTATCAAACGGGGGCACTTCTGCCTGTGACTCAGATGTGATAACAAATACACTACGAAACAGTTTTTAATTTACGAAATAGTCTTTATCATGAGGGAAAAATCATAATTATCGGATAAAGATATGGACAGGTTTCGCCCAGGTTCAAACTGGGGACTTTCTGTGTGTGAAGCAGACGTGATAACCACTACACCACGAAACCTTGTTATTTCTTTGTTTGTTGCAAACAGCCTATAACAGGCAGTAGCGGACCGTAGGGTAAATTGCAGGGTATGCTAGGTATTGTCATACCTAGGATGTGAGCACGCCTGCATCCCTGAAAAAAATACTCATCCATCCCTAGCCGCGCCCCCGCCCACAAATCATGTAGTTAAAATATTACCTCAAATCACCTTATTTTGCGAGTTAGGACCCTCACATAATCACCGATCCCCCACCTTCCCACCCCGATCAGCTCCTTTCCATTTCAAGACCCATACGCCACTGATGCTAGGGCCTGCTAGTAGGAAAAGTTCGTAAACCTACTACTATACAGAATCAGATTGAGTTCTATACTTAAAATACAAATTTATGTAATTTTTAATACCGGCATGGTTGTAGCGTCTTCTCTTCAAAAGAATTCCTATTCCTGTATTTTAACAAGTTTCAATTCAAATAGGCCTAATAATAATTCAAAGCTTCTTCTATACCGGTCATATGTATGCAAATTTATTTAAACTTTAATCATTGAGATTAGGCTTAAAGCAATGTAATTCAACAAAAGGACGCATATCTCGGGACATCAAAGGTTATAACCAAAGATACTAGAAATACAAGATAGAGTTCTCGCATTGTAAAAATGAGGCGGAAGTCGTGCCCAACGTAGGCGGCGCACTTCTTTTTAACCATGCAAGTTTCCTATACTTCGTGCCCAACGTACAGGGCGCCCTTCTGTTGCTAAGTATATCCAGACGCAAAAGGCGCCCTTCCTTTTCCACTAATGGCGGAAAACTCTTTTACTAAGAGTGCGTCCGGCCATGCGATTCTGCGCTGTATTGTTGTTTTATTCTTTATTGATTCATGATTATGCTTTAATTGTTTTGTGTATTATTTGGATAATAGCAACGATTTCTACCGCCACCAAGGAGGTTATGTATTCACCGATGTCACTGTCTGGGTGTCTATTCCAGTTTGTTTT